CAGTAAATAAATATAATCATTATTTATCTGCATTCATGGTCACAAGATGATGTTGATCAGGATATTTGATATGGTCTGGACAGTGACTTCACCAACAACTTCAGAAAACGTCTTTATCAATTTGATTTGACAACACATGAGCTGCAATTACTCACAACACAACACAACACAAGTGTTTCCAGGGGACACTGAAACATGATGAACCTGGGACGTACTTGCATGGACGCACTTGTTATTCAATGCAACTGAACAACAAGTGCGTCCCAGCCATGTTCATCACTTTTTAGTGTCCCATGGAAACAGTTCTTCTGTGCTGTATTTGCAGCTCATGTGTTGTCAAATCAAACTCATGAAGATGTTTTCTGAAGTTGTTTGTGTTTTGTCTGTTTGCATGTGTTTTCTGAAGTTGCAGTGTGTTGAGCTCTCAGTGCCGCCGTAGTAAAGTGTCAAAAATCTTAGTATTGAAATGACACAAAGCTACAACATTGAGGACCTTTGCAACAAACAAAGGAAGGATCGGACGTTTTTTATCATGTTCTCCACAATCAGAGGAATGATATTAGTATCATATGATATATTAGTAGCATCAAGCACAGAAACGAGTCTGAGTGAGGGCTCCGACCACTTGAAGGAAAATTACAGTATTGCACTTGCCCACAGTCCCACAGACTAAGTAAGAGCAAGCAGCAGAAGCCCCCTAAAGCTCCCTGAGTAAACTTCAGTTTTACATAAATCACCTCAAACACTCTTTCGTCCAACTGAAAGCAGCTAGTTTAGTTAGCTGGCAAAGCTGCCCCAGGAGTAGATCCCTGTGCAGTTACCTACAGTATCATAGCTAATACATGGAGCGCTTTGTGTTCACTGTAGACTGGATTCAAATCTCTAAAACAGCAGTGGTGAATGCAAAGTCAGCATGGCCAACCAATCTCTTTTAATTAGTATTGAGGAGTGTGATGGGAACATAAACTGAAGCTCCTGACCTGGAACTGCAGGATTTTACACGTTGCCCTCCACAGTGATATTGCACAGGGGTGAACTCAGTTTTGTTATATACTGTATATTCATATTTACATGCCCTTTACAACAGAAATACAGCAGTTAGCTCCATTAGCTCCACTATTCAATCATAGATGGTTTAATACATCCGTGTAGATGTAGGTATGACTCTGTGCAAGACAGAACACAGATTTCCATGGACTTGTTGGAGTTGTGAGAATATATGACAGTGGTCATAGGCCAGCCTGATAAGAGCAGATCATCACAGAGACGTCAGCTCTTACTGAAAGCTCTGACCACACGGCTGCTTGTTCCGATAAGGAAGGCTGGATGTGTCACTGGGTCAAAAAGTGAAGTCTGAATCATCTGCAGCAACACCAAGACAACACTGGGAATGTTGCTGCAACCACACTGAGGCCTCAGCTGTCAATCACACCACTCACTGGGAGAACTCATGTTTACTTCAGTCTCTGTGTGGATACAGTTTCTAAATGACAGCATGCAGAAAAAAACTTTTAGTGCTCCATATCCAGTTCGCAAGTAGCTTCAGTCTGGGAAACTGCATCCTACCACCTGATCATGAACCATAATGCTAATCTATAACAATGATATTTCAAACTTTATGTACAATCGACTGTATACATTAAAGTACATATAAAAAAAACTGGACTGGAGATTAAATCCAAGCATCCACCTACGAGGCTGAGAAGTGAAGCCAACAACAAAGTGCTAAAACCTGCAGTTCCTCTAATGACCACTAGAGTCTGGCTCCAACAGTGAGTCAGTCCCCATAGACTCCCATGTTAAAATGTCCAACTTTACAGCAGAAATAAACATGTTTACAGCCTGGTACAAAAACTGTTTTGGTCTCTAGAGCTAATTTCCTACTTCATGACAACTATTTATATAACTCACCTGTTTACGTTTTATTAAGGATTAAAGTTATGGAGAATTGAGGGCGCGGCCTCTTTGAGTGACAGCTCGGTGAGTATATGCACCTAATTCTCAGCTCCATTCACGCCCCATCTCTTTGTCCATTTTTGGATTAGCTGGGAGTTAGTGGCGGAGTCAGGCACTGCCAAGATGGGAACTGTGGGGCAGCTCACTCTTTGCTTCAGAAACCTATGGGTGACATCACAGAGGTTACGTTCATCTTTATTTAAAGTCTATCATTAAATAACTTAACGGGGATGTGTAACCGCCAAGTGTCAAATCTGATGTTACTTTTGTCCCTGAAAGATTTATTTCAGGAAACCATATCTTCTTCATATTTCATACTATTTGTGATGCTGTGTAATGTGCAAATCTGGGTATGGTTTGAATTTCTGCAAAGAAAGTACATTTTTGTTGTAAACAAAGCCTCCACTGCGTCCATGCTGCCTGCTGGAACACAGCTGATTGGTTTCTCCACTCTGACAAACTGCAGAGGAATGCCACCAAATCACTGACGGCTGCCAGGCCTCCAAAAATCATTGGATGACTATCAAAGGTCAGTCAGCCTCTAACTAGCATTTCAAATCTGTGTTCGCCAGAGGGTAAAACACTATAAAGGTACACTATGTTATAAGACACACCCCTGATCTGCTGCCAACCGGTTGAAGGAGAAGCTTTGACCCAGGCAGACAGGTAGTGTAGATCGTTAATAGACATGTTTGACATCTGTCTTTTTTTTCCTCATGAGTCATTAAAGGATTTAGTGAAGCTGTTCACACACTGAAGCAACATAATTCATGTCAGCAGGACAGAAGATTGACATTTTGTTTTTAAGGACAAGACACGGATGAAGTGAAGAAAGTAAGAAGAAGCTTTATTACCTGTGGGTTTCTATGGTATGTGAACTGGAATGATGATTGTTGAGTCAGTAACACTCCCTTTGATAAGTGGGTGTATGAGTTACATAACACAAATCTGATTGCACAGCAGCAGTGTTCCTCTTTTTCACACTTTATGAAACAGATGGGCAAGCAGGGCCTACAACTTTGTTTGGGAATATGCATCACTAAAGCACATGTTCAAACAACATAACAAGGGCCTACATTATTACAACATGCACATTCCAGTTTTACATCAGGACTCACTGTGTAGCAAAAAGGCGAAAAAAAAAACTGAAGAGATGCTCCACAGAAAGATTTATTGAGTACATCCACAACATGTTAATGTTTACATGCTCAGGCTTCACAGAGCTCAAGCAACAACTTAGCAACATTAGTGAATTTAAACAAATAATGACAATCGAGCATTCGTGTGAATATTTTATAATAATAGTCAAATCATATACTTAAGTAATGATGACTCATGATGATTGAACTCAATGAGGAATTCCTGCAGGATGCATCATGAATTCCTGCTGCTCAAAATAAGCAATGATCAAGTCATTATGACTTTATGTGATTAATTCCCACATATCTGCTCAGCTTGTCTGATTTCTATGAGAATGGTGGTTTTAACATATTTACAATAGTGGGTAGAACATGACTTGTTTTTTTTTGATTGTGTTTGTATTGTTGTTGGAGGCAGTGGAGTGTAGCATGAAAATCATCAAAGCAATTAGAGGAGAATGATCAGACGTTTGTGACATGATGCAGTGTTGTATGCACATGAAGTGCGGCTGATGTTTGCGCAGGTTGGACGTTGTAGCTCCGGGGTCCCGTGAATCCCACATCTTCACATTCACCTCACCATCATCAAACTACATTCAAATGAATACTTACTTACTGAATATAGTCATGTGATGAATCAGTAACAAACAAATGGACACATAACACAACAGTAATTAATGATAATCAATTATCAAACTTAAATGAAATAGCTCAAGAAAAACAGGCAAGATAAGGTTATAAAAAAGGTCTAATGTCAAAATCTTGGTCCCTAAAGATAGATAGTGTATATATTCAATAAGGCTCCATTTGGCCTTTTTTCTTTTGGTCCTGATTTATCACCGATTTTTTTCTGCCTGTGTCATTTTTCCCTGGAGCTCCCAGCAGGTTAATCTAATCACAGACACACTGGATGGTGTTTCATAGAACACAAAACAAGCACCTGTTTGATGCTGTTCATATATTTTGTGCTTCTTGCTCTTACTCTGATTTTAAAGCTGTGCAGCTGTTAGTTACACTGAAGTCAATGATTAAAAACCTATCCACCCAAAAAAATCAGCTCCAACACAAGTGCAGTGCTGCTTGACCTTAATGCATCAGTAATAATACTCCATTGTATTCACTGGAGCTTCCACTGCTCATGGGCACAGTTGAGAAAGTAGAGAGCCATTCAGACTGGAGTCAGCAGCTTTCTCTTCACATGTTTGAAGCTGACATATAACATATGAATGAAGGATGGATAGACATCGCTCTCTCTCTGCAGGGGAGCCGCCTCCTCATCGCCTTAGTGAGGCTTCGGGAGTGTAGGAGAAATGCCGTGGTGGCGCCTGGTGGCTGAAGCCTGCAGCAGAAAATACACCCTGCGCTGCCCAGGGCACGACAGCCGAGGAGGAACCGCGGAGTTTACAACTGTCTGAACCGAGCCCAGGATGATCATAAACAGGCACACTCTGTCTCTGTGTCCCATGTCTGACAGAGACACTACGATGTTTCACATTTCACGAAGAGCATTTTTTGTTTATCAGCAAGAATGTTTGTTAACCTGCGCAGTAAACAAATAAATAGACGAAGAAGACTGTATAAGCACACGATCATTATCAGAGTAACTGCCGCATTAATTGTGTGCGTAAAAGCGCATCGTGCCCAAATGCGTAATACTCATGGCACCTGCAGCATCTCTCTTCCTCTTTGTGTAAAGCCTGCGTGCCCTTGTAGTATCGTTTTCGTTGCTGTTTTTTCAACAACGTGCTAATGTGCTTATTATGTCTTTTAGTGGTGCCTGTCCAGGGGCGGTCTCTCTCGCTCTCTGCCCTGCCAGTTGTTGGACAGGTTTGCGAGGGGCGGGTTTCCTTCTCTGTGAGGTTAAGTAGCTGCCGGCAGCGGAGCTGAGAGAGCATTCCGCACCAGTCCTGCCCTGACTCTCTCACCACCTCTCTGTATCTGAAACACAGGGAAACTGTACTTTTATACCGAGGCTAAATTTAGGGGGCTGGTCGGTGCGCGGCGTCCCCATCCTGGACGCGCTTCCTTCCCCCAGCCTCGCATTGGTCTGATTTGTGCAGGGAACAACGTTTATAAGAAAAGCAGCTCTGTCCAGACTCACAGCTACATGAGTGAGGAGAAACAGCTCATCGGACGACAGAAGAAGCGACGCGATCTGTAGCTTTTTCTGGAGACTCTCTGGACTCTGGTAATTTCCTTTAAACACAGAAAGTGCCTCTTCTCAACACTTGAGGGATTTTTTTCCACTTTTTTTTTAACAACGCATGGAAATGGCCTTGAGCGGGACCATTTTACCATCAATCTCTACCTTTGCCAACCAGAAGGAGAAAGGCTGGGAAGATGTAAGTTGCACTCTTTATATATTTACACTTGTTGTGAGCCTGTTGATAGAGTCACATAGGTTCATGCACTTGCTCTGCCAGAATCAGTCTGTCAGATCAGAGCACATACACTGTGTGTGCTGGTCCTTGAAAAGTTTTTTGGAACTTTGGAACTGTGTTGTTAAATGTTTAAACACAGTTTGTTGGTGATATTCATCCACTTTTAGACACCTTTTGTGCTATTTTCGAAATATTTCATAAAATTAGATTAATAAAATAAATCTATTGATGTATCTGAAACTGCTGTCAAAGATTTTGAAACAAACTAATCCTGCTCTCTCATCCTCGCTCCAGAGGTGGAAGGGCGACATGAGCAGCGTTGCGCCCGACTTGGACAGCAGCTGCCTGGGCAGAAAAGATGAAGAGGACCTGGATAAGTTCTTGGATCTTGAGTTTATTCTCGCAAACACATCTGGCTCTGACGGAGCGCCAGCCGCCGGGACGGGGGTAGAGTCCTATCGGCTCCAGGAGTCCGGGTCGTCCGCGTATCACCAGCAGCAGCAGCACACCGGGATGCCCCAGCCGCAGGCCAATTACACCTCTGTCCCAGACATGAACTGCCCTCCTCCGCCCTACAACAGTCTGATGGCGGAGCTTCTGCGCTCCGACGTGGATACGAGCTTCTTCTCCGGGAACAGTCCCAGCATCCAGGGCAGATTCCTGATCAGCTCCGCGCCTTTCCAGACCACTCAGGATTTATTCCCCGAGCATCCGAACATTAAAGTGGAGCCCGCCTCCATGGACACATACGGACCTGTCATGGGTCTAGTGCCCCAGAGCTGCACCAAAATCAAGCATGAAGGGAACGTCTCCTGCATGATGTCATACGAGCAGCAGCCGCGGCTGGCCAACTCCCCGCAGGCTGCAGTCGGCAGCATGACGCCGCCGCTCAGCCCGGACGACCTGATGAGCTCCGAGTGCCACCAGCCCCAGATGTGCAACGCCACCTCGCTGACGTTCCCGCAGAGCTTCCACTCCCACCACCGGAGCGCGCCCGGGGGATTCCCTCACCCGCACACCGGGATGCAGCTCCCTTTCACAGGGGCGCACCACCATCACCATTTTCCCGCCATGTTCGGAGAGGACGCGGCCATGGGCATGCAGCAGCAGCCGGCGTCCGGCCAGCGGGTCCTCCTCACCCCACCATCCTCCCCGCTGGAAATGATGGACACCAAGCCAAAGAGGGGTCGCCGGTCCTGGCCCAGGAAACGGACGGCGACACACACCTGCACTTTTACCGGCTGTGGGAAAACCTACACCAAGAGCTCCCACCTGAAGGCGCACCTCAGGACGCACACAGGTAAGACCTGCATGAATGTGCTGGATGCTCTTCACCACTTATTGCCTTACATCATACCAGCCTCCACATAATGACGTCATTAACCGTGGTTTTTTGTGTTTACAGGAGAGAAACCATACCACTGCAGCTGGGAGGGTTGCGGCTGGAAGTTCGCTCGTTCCGATGAGCTCACACGTCACTTCCGGAAGCACACCGGGCACCGGCCGTTCCAGTGTCACCTGTGTGAACGGGCGTTCTCCCGGTCCGACCACCTCGCCCTGCACATGAAGAGGCACATGTGAGGACACAAGCTGAGCAGAGAGGACTCTATGCATCAACCACACGAAAAGAACTGTAACAACCCTATGGTCAGATATAGAACCATGCTATGCAAATATATAGATGCAAGTTCCTATAGTTCATTTAACTATAGTGGTACCATGGCAGGATTAGCAGCCATACAGTATGATGAGGCCACTAGCCTATTGACTACACTGTAATGCCTACAGGTATATTTATAGGAATATTATAGTGAGTTTCATCAGGGGGGAGGAAAAGGAGCATCAAGATGAAATGCCTTAAAAAAAATATCTATTTAAAAGTTATTTTGAGAGAAGTGACAAACACAAATCACAAATCACAAATCAATGAGCAAACACAGCAGATATGACAGAGACAGATGAATTCTGTTCAGACTTTTGTAACGATGTAGCTGGTACTACTTTTTTGTATGGGATGCTGTTTGTATAGACAACAAGTGAACAAATGAATTTCCACTCAACATGTCAGGCACATGCAGCTGAAGCAACTGGAAGCAGACATTCCTCTGAAGAGCAAATATTTTGTTGTATTTTCACCATTAGTGCCTTTCTATAACACATTATTACACATCTTACGAGCGCCATATTCTTCACTGGCTAAATGACAATCAAAGTTTTATTCTGTGTGTTATATTGTAAGTGTAAACTGCACGTGAAATAAGCTTTTAGACAATGTTTTGTTCTAAAACTGCCTTTCATTCTGTCCTCCTTGAAGGCTTGAACTGAATGTCGTGTCTGTGAGTCTGTCTGTTGTCTACTAGCATTTGAAGTCAGGGTCTTTTACAGTAGGAAGTCTCACAGAACAGCAACACCACCTGACTGACAAAGGGCTATTCAGTCTTTGGAAATAAGACTTGTTTGTTTGTGTGATGAACAAATGTACTGCCTTGTAAATAGAATTTTTTATATAATGTAAATAGTTTATTTTAATGTACATATTAAACTAAATGAACAACATGATTCCTGAGTCCTGAGTGTGAATGTCAAAGATCTGGATGGAAGGAAGGTTGATATTATATAAGACCAGGTTTGACACACACACATACACACACACACACACACACACACACACACACACACACACACATACACACACACACACACACATACACACACACGTACACGTTTTTGACTTTGTTTTCTTCTGAAATATTGGAGTTTGACTTTTTCAAGACAACAACCTACTAAATGACTAAAGGAAAGAATGTGAAGAAAGAACCTGAGGATGATACTGATGATGTGTTTGTAGACACACACAGTCTGTAGTAACAGGAGCTCCTGAGTAGATGAAGAGTAACAAGCCAAAAAGAGCAAGTAAAAATTTTTTTTTTTTTTTTTTTGGCGGTTACATCTGGATAGGGTGTTCAATATGAAACCACAAAAACAAGCACCGTTGTTTGATGCTGTTTCTATATATTTTGCTTCTTGCTCTTACTCTCTGATTTCAAAGCTGTGCAGCTGTATGGTTACACTGAAGTCAATGATTAAAAACCTATCCACCCAAAAAAAATCAGCTCCAACACAAGTGCATGCTGCTTGACCTTAATGCATCAGTAATAATACTCCATTGTATTACTGGAGCTCCAACTGCTCATGGGCACAGTTGAGAAGGTAGAGAGCCATTCAGACTGGAGTCAGCAGCTTTTCTTCACATGTTTGAAGCTGACATATAATAATATGAATGAAGGATGGATAGACATCGCCTCTTCTCTGCAGGGAGCCGCCCCTCATCGCCTTAGTGAGGCTTCGGAAGTGTAGGAGAAATGCCGTGGTGGCGCCTGGTGGCTGAAGCCTGCAGTCAGAAAATACACCCTGCGCTGCCCAGGGCACGACCAGCCGAGGAGGAACCGCGGAGTTTACAACTGTCTGAACCGAGCCCAGGATGAAATCATAAAACAGCACACTCTGTCTCTGTGTCCCATGTCTGACAGAGACACTACGATGTTTCATTTCACGAAGAGCATTTTTTGTTTATTCAGGCAAGAATGTTTGTAATACTGCGCAGTAAACAAATAAATAACGAAGAAGACTGTATAAAGCACACGATCATTATCAGAGTAACTGCCGCATTAATTGTGTGCGTAAAAAGCGCATCGTGCCCAAATGCGTAATACTCATGGCACCTGCAGCATCTCTCTTCCTCTTTGTGTAAAGCCTGCGTGCCCTTGTAGTATCGTTTTTCGTTGCTGTTTTTTTCACACAACAGTGCTAATGTGCTTATTATGTCTTTTTAGTGGTGCCTGTCCAGGGGCGGTCTCTCTCGCTCTCTGCCCTGCCAGTTTGTTGGACAGGTTTGCGAGGGGCGGGTTTTCCTTCTCGGTGGTTAAGTAGCTGCCGGCAGCGGAGCTGAGAGAGCATTCCGCACCAGTCCTGCCCTGACTCTCATACACCTCTCTGTATCTGAAACACAGGGAAACTGTACTTTTATACCGAGGCTAAATTTAGGGGGCTGGTCGGTGCGCGGCGTCCCCATCCTGGACCGCTTCCTTCCCCCAGCCTCGCATTGGTCGCTGAATTTGTGCGAGGGAACAACGTTTATAAGAAAAAGCAGGCTCTGTACCAGACTCACAGCTACATGAGTGAGAGAAACAGCTCATCGACGACAGACAGGAAGCCAGACGCGATCTGTAGCTTTTTTCTGGAGACTCTCTGGACTCTGTAATTCTCCTTTAAACACAAAAAGTGCCTCCTTCTCAACACTTGAGGGATTTTTTTCCACTTTTTTTTAACAACCGACATGGAAATGCCTTGAGCGGAGGACATTTTAACCATCAAATCTCTACCTTTGCCAACCAGAAGGAGAAAGGCTGGGAAGATGTAAGTTGCACTTCTTTATATATTTACACTTGTTGTGAGCCTGTTGATAGAGTCAACAATAAGGTCCATGCACTTGCTCTGCCAAGAATCAGTCTGTCAGATCAGAGCACAATCACTGTGTGTGCTGTTCCCTGAAAAGTTTTTTGGAACTTTGGAACTGTTTTTAAAATGTTTAAAACACAGTTTTGTTGGTGATATTCATCCACTTTTAGACACCTTTTGTGCTATTTTCGAAAATATTTTATAAAATTAGATTAAATAAAATAAATCTATTGATGTATTGAAACTGCTTGTCAAAGATTTTGAAAAAAACTAATCCTGCTCTCTCATCCTCGCTCCAAGAGGTTGGAAGGGCGACATGAGCAGCGTTGGCGCCCGACTTGGACAGCAGCTGCCTGGGCAGAAAAGATGAAGAAGGACCTGGGATAAGTTCTTGGATCTTGAAGTTTATTCTCGCAAACCACATCCTGGCTCTGACGGAGCGCCAGCCGCCGGGAAGCGGGGGTAGAGTCCTATCGGCTCCAGGAGCTCCGGGGTCGTCCGCGTATACACAGCAGCAGCAGCACACCGGATGCCCCAGCCGCAGGCCAATTACACCTCTGTCCAGACATGAACTGCCCCTCCTCCGCCCTACAACAGTCTGATGGCGGAGCTTCTGCCGCTCCGACGTGGATACGAGCTTCTTCTCCGGGAACAGCCCAGCATCCAGGGCAGATTCCTGATCAGCCTCCGCGCCTTTCCAGACCACTCAGGATTTATCCCCGAGCATACCGAACATTAAAGTGGAGCCCGCCTCCATGGACACATACGGACCTGTCATGGGTCTAGTGCCCAGAGCTGCACCAAATCAAGCATGAAGGGAACGTCTCCTGCATGATTCATACGAGCAGCAGCCGCGGCTGGCCAACTCCGCCGCAGGCTGCAGTCGGCAGCATGACGCCGCCGCTCAGCCCGGACGACCGGATGAGCTCCGAGTGCACCAGCCCCAGATGTGCAAACGCCACCTCGGCTGAACGTTCCGCAAGAGGCTTCCAACTCCCACCACCGGAGGCGCGCCCGGGGATTCCCACCCGCACACCGGGATGCAGCCCTTTCACAGGGGCGCACCACCAATCACCATTTTCCCGCAATGTCGGAGGAGGACGCGCCATGGGCATGCAGCAGCAGCCGGCGTCCGGCCAGCGGGTCCTCCTCACCCAACATCTCCCCGCTGGAAATGAATGGACACCAAGCCAAAGAGGGGTGCCGGTCCTGACCAGGAAACGGACGGCGACACACACCTGCACTTTTACCGCTGGTGGGAAAACCTACACACAAGAGCTCCCACCTGAAGGCGCACCTCAGGACCACACAGGTAAGACCTGCATGAATGTGCTGGATGCTTCTTCACACTTATTGCCTTACATCATACCAGCCTCCACATAATGACGTCATTAACGCTGTGGTTTTTTTGTGTTACAGGAGAGAAACCATACCACTGCAGCTGGGAGGGTTGCGGCTGGAAGTTCGCTCGTTCCGATGAGCTCACACGTCACTTCGCCGGAAGCCACACCGGGCACCGGCCGTTCCAGTGTCACCTGTGTGAACGGGCGTTCTCCCGGTCCGACCACCTCGCCCTGCCACATGAAGAGGCACATGTGAGGACACAAGCGTGACTAGCAAGAGGACTCTATTGCATCAACCACAACGAAAAAGAACTGTAACAACCCTATGGTCAGATATAGAACCATGCTATGCAAATATATAGATGCAAGTTCCTATAGTTCATTTAACTATAGTGGTACCATGGCAGGATTAGCAGCCATACAGTATGATGAGGCCACTAGCCTATTGACTACACGTAATGCCTACAGGTATATTTATAGGAATATTATAGTGAGTTTCATGGGGGAGGAAAGGACATCAAGATGAAATGCCTTTAAAAAAAAATATATCTATTTAAAAGTTATTTTAGAGAAGTGACAAACACAAATCACAAATCACAAATCAATGAGCAAACACAGCAGATATGACAGAGACAGATGAATTCTGTTCAGACTTTTGTAACGATGTAGCTGGTACTATACTTTTTTTGTATGGATGCTGTTTGTATAGACAACAAGTGAACAAATGAATTTCCACTCAACATTCAGGCACATGCAGCTGAAGCAACTGGAAGCAGACATTCCTCTGAAGAGCAAATATTTTGTTGTATTTTCACCATTAGTGCCTTTCTATAACACATTATTTACACATCTTACGAGCGCCATATTCTTCACTGGCTAAATGACAATCAAAGTTTTATTCTGTGTGTTATATTGTAAGTGTAAACTGCACGTGAAATAAGCTTTTAAGACAATGTTTTGTTCTAAATACTGCCTTTCATTCTGTCCTCCTTGAAGGCTTGAACTGAAATGTCGTGTCTGTGAGTCTGTCTGTTGTCTACTAGCATTTGAAAGTCAGGGTCTTTTACAGTAGGAAGTCTCACAGAAACAGCAACACCACTGACTGACAAAGGGCTATTCAGTTTTTGGAAAAAAGACTTGTTTGTTTGTGTGATGAACAAATGTACTGCCTTGTAAATAGAATTTTTTTATATAATGTAAATAGTTTATTTTAATGTACATATTAAACTAAATGAACAACATGATTCCTGAGTCCTGAGTGTGAATGTCAAAGATCTGGATGGAAGGAAGGTTGATATTATATAAAGACCAGGTTTGATGTGAATACACACACACATACACACACACACACACACACATACACACACACACACACACATAACACACACACACACCACACACATACATCACACACAAACATACATACACAACACCACACACACACACATACACACACAACACACACACACACACATACACACACACCACACACACACACACACATACACACAACGACATACACACACACACAAACATACATACACACACACACACACACACACACACATACACAGATCACACACAGACACACATACAACGCACACACAACACACACACACAAAATA